CCCCAAAACCCCAAAACCCCAAAACCCCAAAACCCCAAAACCCCTATAAATCCCATTAGCCCTGAACCGAATAAAACAAATAGCCTCTTAAAGAAGGACAACAGAGATTTCAACCGTTTATTCATTAGCCAGTACTAGACCTTGGCTGGGAGGATTGGTTCGGTTAGGAACAAGAGTCTTCGTCACTGTCAAGTTCATGCTCAGGGTCAGCCTCTTCTAGGATGTTTAGCGGACCGATATGCTTAAGTTCAGTCTCGAGATCGTGCAGGAATTTTAGGGACAAGTCATTGCATGGATTGGTCTTGAGGTTGGTTCTTTGGCCGAGAGGAGTTCTAGTAGAGAGCCTGGTGAGCTCAGCATTCTCATTTTCGAGGATGTAGCAAGGCTTGGAGATACTCAGGACATCTTTAATCTTTCTGGTTAGCTTAAGAGTCCCGGGGTTTGGCTTTTCGATTACTGATTTCTGCCCATTCTCATATGTGTCAGATATGCCAGAAAAGTTTCCCATTATTTTGAATACTGAAAGAATCTCAGGAAGGGAATATTTCTTGATCTGAGCTGATGAAGATGCACTAGATTTACACTCTGAATCTGTCTTGGTAGAAGTCTTTGGAGTCATGAATATGCTTTCAGCTCTTTGGGATTCACTAGTTGTGCTCTTTGATTCTTCCTTCTGTGGAGTTCTGTCTTTGGACAAGTCATCTTTTAAATCCTCAATTTTTACTTGACTCAAAAATGGGATTAAAGAGGCTTTGCACTCTTCAGACCTATCCTCTTTCGGCCCAGGGCTGCCTTTTGGTTTAAAAGGCTTAGATTCAGTGCTTAGCTTCTCTGTGCCTAGCTTAAATGATTCATGGATCTTCATCTGCCTAGATGAAGGAGGGATCCAGTACTGTCCAGAATTTCTTAACTTTGCTTTCTTAAGGGGATCAGCATCTCTTCTATCTCTTCTCATCTTCTTGTGATAAAATACTGGACAGGTATAAGGATTGATACCTTTTCTTAAAGCCCAAGAGTGAGATTTAAGAGCCCAATTCTGAGTTATTGGGCATAGAGACATCAGATCGGAATTCTTCCATTTGTACTCAGCATCTTGACTCTTGTGCTCAATTACGGATTTAGCCTGAGTAGTGAATTCCCAGTGCCAATCTGTGGTATTTACCCATATGTCGCAGATGGCTGTAAGGAATTCATCAATGCTGTTGTCTTCATTAAGTCTGACTCTGATGACCTGAGTCAGATACTTATCTTTGTACTGCGATAGTGTGATACTCTAATCATTAGACCAAATTTGCTTACCATCTTGCTCAGCTTACTGCTGTTCTGGATAATCTCCTTGAATCCTTCATAAGGAATACTGCTGAGAATGGAAATATCGCAAAAATCTTGTAATTTTTCTAGATTTTAGTGACAACTCTTACCTTTATCGATCTTTAGGAGTCTAAATAGGCCTAGGTAGTGATCAACAATTAGAAGACAGCTTAGTTCTGGTATATAAGACCTATACTCATAAACGACCAGCAGCTACTTTTTAGTGAAGAAAGTCATGAATTCATTACATATCTTCTGAACTTGTTCAACATACTGAATTTTGAGCTTGGGGTTGTCCTTCAAAAAGTTCAAAGTGAGGGAAGTCTGGATTTCCTTCCCTTGCTGACCGTAGTAATCCTGAAGGTCTAGGATTACCTGCTTGATCTCTGGAAAGCACATCAGAAGATCATATGCCTTGCTCCACTGAATACCTTTGTAAGTAGGAACCTGGATCTGAGATGACCTCTGCTTGATCTCTTCAAGGTATTTGCAGCTTCTTTGAAGCAAGTTCTCCGGTCTTTGGAGTTGCTCTCGTTTGATTCTAGAAGTTATTTGAGAGAAGTCTTACTGAGTTCTCATACTGATAAGTGAAGAAAATAATAAATTATAATTACTTCAACCTCTTACTTTAATTTAGGGGTTTTGGGGTTTTGGGGTTTTGGGGTTTTGGGGTTTTGGGG